TTGACTTAGCATTTTAAGTAGTATAGGTCTATAAAGGTGGAAAACATATTTTCGAGGACCAACATTCATGAACGAAATTGAGTTAATTACTATTTTGTAAAGTAAGGTATTAAATATCAGTAATTTTAAATTTAAATTTTAAATTCCTTAAAGTTCAAGAGGTATATGAAATGTTTAATATAAATAATAACTATTTTTAAAGTAAGGAAAAGAGTGCATAAATGCTTTCCAAGTGCATTAGAAGTTGGAAGTCCCAACGACTTGGTCACCACGGTAGCCTGCATTTGCATATGTTTCTCATGCGTGCGGTGAAAAGTGTGTGGGGGGAAAGCCGGAAAAGTGGGCGGGGCAGGAAGGTGACGCAGTTGTTCGAGATGTGCAGCTTGTTTGTCTTGCACTTGCGACTGTCGAAGCAACTGTCAGAACATTGTCGCATTGATGAAGCGTCTGTCCTTTTGGGCGATGGCGATGGCGGTGGGGGATATGGATTTGGGTGCGAGCCTGTCAAAGGATATATCGCATCAATCACACACACAGCAACATGTGTCGCAAGATGGCAGCAGCAATAACAGGACGAGGGAAACAAAGTCAGGCGGAACACACACAAGTTTTCTTGCTCGGTGCAATCTTAACACTTTCGCCCCTTCGGAGTTTTCATTAGCGATTTTCTGGCGAATCGGCAAAACGGAACCGATCCAATTATCCTTCGGCTTCCCTTTTTCCCATTTTTCCCTTTTTCCCTTTTTTTATTTGCCTTCTGTTTTTTTTGTTTGTTTTTGTTATATATTTTATGATTGGGCCCCAGGACACGTGGCTGGTTCACCCAACACCCCAATACCGAACTAGAGGCTAGAGGCACATAAATCTTCCAGCACCGACGACGTTTGACAGCAGCACTCATATGTCATACCGGCGTGGTTGTTGTCCCACATCCTTGTTGCTGTGGGCTTGTTTTGGATTTCATGTTTAACATTTTACAGCAGCGACAGCGGTTTGACAGTTTCTGCTATTTATTCTGGATGGGAAGGAAAACAATTTTCGAGGCCGTAGAAAAACGAATGAGGGCGGCAATTGGGGGCAAATCAGCCTGATACAAAATTTATTGTCTATCTCATTTTCTGGAAATTCGGAATTATTTTATCATATAAATTATAAAACTGTTTGTTGCTCTGGGCTAATGCCTTTGGTTAAGCCGAAAATAAGATTGCTTGGAAATTGTGCCAACACGAATTTGTAAATTAAAATGATTCCAAATTAAATAAATGCTAAGTAAATTTTACCAAGTCCTCAAAGTGGCGCTGGCATAAATAGTTAAATTACAAAAACCATAATTTGCTTTTAGAAATACCACAATACTCTGTAATTGAATTAAATAGAAAATTAAGTAAGCGGCTCACAACAATAACGTAGACATCATGTTTGGCAAGTGAAAATCTGGCATCAATTAAAACGCAGTGAGGGCGTTGTGGAGTTAAGCCACATGCAACATTGGCAAATTGCAGTTCATGTGCTTAACTCGGCTCATTTCGATGCCGGCCGAAAGGCGGTACTTATTGTTAGTAACGGACACTGCCAGTAGCAACACCAACATCAACAGAAACAATGGCAGCAGCAACAATTAGGCTATGTAATTACGGCCAAAAAGGGCGAAAGGGGAAAAGGGGGGCTGAGAATAAAGTAGCAGCAAAGGAAAACAGAGAAAATATCCACAAAGGCACTGAAAAAAAGGCAAGGCTTTCTCTTCCAAAGTATGTAAAATTCAATATGGCATGTAAAATTCATGGAGACAATACAAATAATTTGCACATATCGAGTTGTATTTTTCTGATAAATGTGTTTTATAGTTTTATATAAAATAAAAATGTAGTTTCTAAAACTAGACCTTGAATTTAATATATATTAATTTAGATTATTCAAAGGTACTTCTTCTTTACTAGTATCTTAACGAAAAAAACCGAAAAGTTTCGCCAAGTGAAGTGGCAGTAAAACACTGAAGGGGCATGTGGCCACGAAAATAAAAAAAACCAACACAGAAAACAAAGGGCGGACATATGACAGAACAAAGAGCAGAAACACTGCGAGATATCCAGCGACATGTCCAATGCATTTGCATTTAAATGGTGGAAAACTGTGGGAAGGAAAGTGGGTGGGCAAAAGTGCACGAAAGGGGCAGGGTGCATTCATGCTAACAATACACAGAAAATAATGTTGTTATCTTAGAGGAAAAAATTACAGAAATGTAATATGGTGACTAAAATGTTACTTATTTCGTACCAACTTTAATTTATAATTTGTGATATTTTTTTTAAGCCCCGAAAATAATTATGCTAAGAAGACTAACTTATTTTTTCAGTGTGCCCAAGGCGACAGCGAGAACAGCAAAATGCAATACAATAAACATGGAATGCATTTTGGCCCTGCCTTCAGTGTCAGTGAACGCATGTGAGTGCGTGATTGCAGAATACACCACATCATCAGCTGTACCACCCAACCACCCACTCAGCCACCCACCCACCTGCTACTCAACCCGTCCACTGACCATCGAACAAAATGCCCAATTTGGTCAACGTCAACGTTTTAAGGTGGCTACAACCTTCAGGGAAGCACACATAGAAAAAAACCTGGGAACTAAATATGTATCCTAAACATTTTGGTTGTTTGCTAACAAAGTTAATAGTGATTTTAAAATGTTATAATTTTGCCAAGATTATTATACATTTTCTTATGAAATAAGATTTACAAGTGGCAGTGAATTAAGCCATATTTACTTAAAATATGCATTTAAAATTTTTTTTTAGTTTTACCAGCATTTGAAAATTTATGTTTTTGAAATAAAAAAGTTATTAAGTTAAATAATATTTTGAAAATCATTACTTAACACAAGTATAATTGTATTTGAAGAAAAAATCTACCTATGTCTTAAAGTATTTTATTTAAACAAATATTACTGTTAATTGGTTACATTCGTACCTGATAAAGACCGAATGTAACCAATTAAATTTATCCATAATAATGTTTTTTTTTAATTGTTGTAAACCTAATAGTTCGTTTTTTTTTGTGCAACCCCTCTTTTAGTTGACCCCAGGAACTGGCCCTCACGTAGCACGCATTTGCAATTTAAACTTGAATACGCATAAATTAGTGGGTATTGCCAACTTGCCAGCAACAACAACGATTCCGGCTGCAACTACAATGGCTGCCATGATGACAGGCCCAGGACATGGACGGCGCTTCCTCCCCCCCCCCCCAACCTAAAAAAAAAAACTAGAAAAGGGGGGAAAAAGTGGTCGACAGTGGTCCGCAAATTGCTGCAACAGATATAGTCATATAGCCATAAAGGGGGCCTTCCACCGCCTATAGTATATGCATGTGTAACTAAAAAAGGCGTCAAGTGTGAAAATTATGGGCGATGCGAACATTTGATTCACTTTGCAGCAAAATTGAAGCTCAATTGCGCTCATCAAAATGATACTATTATAGGGCTGACAAGTTTTATACCATTACATTTATCAAATATTTTGTATAAATTTCCCTGTAGCTTTGAATCTTTTAAAGTACACCATTTCAGTATTTATACTTTGGTCGCCAGACGTCAATTCCTGACGATTGACTGTGTATGAAACCAAGGCCAATATTAGATGACTCCAATTGATAATGCACTTACCGCTGAGGACAGGCTTAATGGGTTATCCATTATCCTGCAACACGATAACGTCTTGTGCGGATAATAATACTAATAACATTTTATATTCTTATTTCTATTTTACTAGTGTACACACTATTAGTATGCACACAAGAAGCGATTTCAATTTTAGGACCTGAATTCGTTAATCAAAAAGTTGAAACGTATTCAAATCCTTTTTTTGACAAAACTGTAAACCGTTTTGAAAATAGTCTGTTAATATATTGATGCCCATGTCAGTAGCCAAAAAAATAAAGCAAATCAAGTTCTTAATTGTTTTTCCATTGAGGTATGTATGGGTATTTTAAGCTACCCACTGTGCCGGGAAATGGGGTGGGAAATTGGGGCATTCGCATTCGCATTCGGCATTCGGAGTGCGCTTCATTAGACATGTGTTTGTTTGTGGCCTGCGGCCTGGACCGGAGCTGACACTAGAAAAGTTTGGCCTGCCAGCGGATTGCTCCCCTGGGCGGATTCGGATTCGGAGTGGGATTTGGAGTTGGAGTTGGAGTTGGAGTCCACCTCGAAAATGGCCAAGGATGTGGCTGGCAGTTGGGACTGCGACTGGCTGTGAAACTGGGTCAGGAACATGGTTTGGATGGGATTGGATTGGATTGGATGGGATGGGATGGAAAGGGGTCTGCCATTCGGCGGCCCTTTACAACGCCATTTTGCCTAATGGCCCGATACTGAGCTTAATCGTTTTGTTTCAAGTTGCCGGCCATAAAGGAAATGCATCCATCATAAAATGTTGCGTCGCCTCTCGCGAATTTTAATGCGAATCTCTTTATGACCGGACACAAATTAGCCGTTCAGGGGGTAAAAGAAAACGGGATAAACATGGTATTTTTTCACTCGTTTTCTTCGTATTTATTATTATTATGCTTTGGTGTCACAGAAATAGTATCTGCCGTTTTTGATGCGCCCAAAGAAATAAATTAAAGCATAGTTAAAATAGGTGAGTCTTCAAAATAAGCTACAGACAGTATTAAAGTTGAATTATTAATTCAAAACTAAAAAATAAAACCCCTAAACTTTTGATATTTTTTTAAAAGAGATTTCTGTAATCTTATTTCAATGTCTATTATTAACGTTTCACTCAAAATTTTAGTAAGATCATATTAAATGCCCTTTTTAGTTGAATCTTTTTCTCTAAGAAGGGAAACTTTAAAACTCGAATTAAAATATTTTCCAGTGATAACCAGAACATCTGTGCCCTCTTGATGAAAGTATTAAAAGTAAAAAGTATTTGAATCGAAGTGGCCTCCGTGTATAAGTTCATATCATAATTTTGTTTGACTCTGTGAGTTCTACTTATAGTCAGTTGAAATCCATTCTCGATACCATTCGGTTCGTTAGGCAGTACCAAATTCCAAGTAAATTATTTCTTGAAAAACATTTCAAATTTCGTAATTCAAATTGAAATCGACGCAATTCGCAATTCGCAATACGCAATGGTGTGGAATACGCTCTCCTTTTGGGATGGTCAGCCGGTGACCTCACCCGTCTATCCCCAGATGGGGGATATGCTGAACCCGAATACCTCCGGATACCAGCGGACTCTTCACCCGCCTTCCCAGCCCCTTTATCATCATGGTCATCCGCATCCGCAACCTCATGCTCATCCTCATCCTCATCATCATGGTCATCCCCATCCCCATCCTCAATCTCAGTCGCATCAGAACGCGAGTTGCTACCTGCGGATGGGCATGGACATGGGCATGGGCGACTTTCGCCACATGAGTTGTCCCCTGCCCAACTACATCCCGCAGTTCCGGGAGCCCTGTTTGGACGACGGAGAGGCGTTCCGGGCCTACAACGGCATGGAAATGGACATGGACCAGGGCTACGGCGGAGGAGCACGACCTGCCACTGATGGCGCTAGCTATGGAGCTAGCTATGCAGCCGGGGCCAAGGGCCATTTCTGGTAGCGATCACATCTCAATCCACAACTTCTTGGCATATTCTCATCGATTTTTTGTGCGTTTGGTCATTGGAACTATTAAAATGTTTTCTTGAAAAGTGATCATATATGGGTTTTAATTTAAGCAGACAAATGAAATGGAAACACGGGTTCCTTGAGGTATAAAATTATTCTTAAATAATATAAATAAAATAAAAAAAATATAATAACGGAATGCCAACTAAATTTAGTATAGAAACTCAATTATAATTTAAAACTTAAAATTATTTATAAATTACTAGCCCATTGTTATGTTATGGAACTTAAATGTAAACATACGAAACCAAAGAATAATAATTATTTGGGGAGTCAGTAGAAGTTTAACCAAAGGTAAGTTCAAATTGAATCTAATAAATAAACCTAACTGATTTTAGCCAATGTGGAATTGGTTATTCCATTGTAATGTTATTGTTTCATTGTTTCGAATTCGAAAATGTATCGTAACATATTACAATTTAGTATAGCGAATGTCATAAAACAATCGTTGCACTTGCTCCCTGTGTTTCATTTCGATTTAATTGATTTCGATTCGATTCGATGGCTTGCCTTGGCCATCTCATATTTCTGCAATTCCCATTTACGGACTGCAGCCTGCGGCCTGTCATTGCTCGGCCTTAATTGATTTGCCAGCGCAAATATTTTGCTATAATTAAACAGTTGTCCAGCGCCTTTAGATCCCTGCATCTCCTGCATCTCTAGCATCTCCGGCTGCACTGCAGCACTTAATGGCCTGGCCACAAACATTTGTTCAGACCGTGCTGTCCTGCCTTTTACCTGACTGACTGCCCTCTGCCCGTGGGCGGTACGAGGAAGGGGGGGAGGCGTGGCAAGCGGTTTGTTTCCTTTACGGATCGAAGAGCAGGTCTCCGGGCGAGCAAATTGCTGGCGAGCAGCCGTTTCAGCATTTTCGGGCCAAGTAAAACTTGATTAATGTTCGCTATTCAATTTCGTCTTTATCATACCCTGGATCAGCCGAATCTTGAGGGGTATCACTAGATTAAGCATCTTGCGTTTACAAATAATTCTTAAATTAACAAAATTAAGAACACACAAGAGCGAATATATTTTTTTTTATTTGACAAGAAAAAATAATAAATATTAAAATGTTTTAATATTCAGTCCATTTCGGTAATAATAATAAGATGCATTAGCACGTTCAGCTATTACAATTTTCTTAGTTCTTTTAAAAAAATTCAACCTTTAAATGAATGTTTGGAAATCTAAAAAAATGTGTTTCAAATTGATAATTGCCTTGTGCTTATTGTGCAAAATATGACACTTTATTGTATTATCACACGATTTTATTATAGGTTATTACTATTATCAATATTTATTTCATTCTTAAAACATGGGCTTTCTGCATATACTAGAAAAATACAAGATTAAACTTGCCAAAACAAAATGGTCTTGAAAATTATATCTATTTTTTAATGGGTATCTAATACGGCTTTACCTTTTTGTGTTTCGCAGCAATTAAGCCCCAAAGTATTTAACAACAATTCCAGTCGAGTTTTCAGCCATTTGGCTGGAAAATGTAAATGGAAATGGGAAAAGCGGCGAGCCGAAAGGAAATGGCCAAACGCAAAAGGCGTTCAACTTGAAACACATACACAAACATGTATAGAAAGCTTCAGGGAAATTCCACCGCCCTTTCTCTGCCTTACGCCGCCTTTCTCCGCTTTCCCCGCCTTTCTCCTCCTTTCCCCAATCTCCATTGTCCGTCGTTCTGCTGACTTTGTCAAAAATGTGTTGAAAAGTAACGGCAAAACAGAAAGTGACAGCCGTAAAAAGCGTTAGACTTGCCATCTAGCAGCCATTTTGCAACTGACAAATATGGCGGCAAGTAAGGCGAAGGCGGGGCGTGGCATTGTAAGGGGAGAGGGGTTTCAGGCAGATGGAAGAGATTTTTGTATTTCGAATTTTGTATTTCGTATTTCGTATCATAAATTCCAGGCGTTGAGCGGAGAGGAGGTGGCTCCAACGAGCAAAAACGATTTACGACCACACGAATGCAGATATCAGACAGGAGTTACAGCCAGTCGCATATAAACTAAACATGATACAAGTACAGTGAAATAGCACGTGAAAGAACAACGATGCCAAGGGTAAAAATATTTTATATTATCCTCCTCTAATCTTATAAAATTAAAATATTTTGATTTCGGTTATTGCAATTGTTAGATGTTTATACACAAGAATTTTGTAATATGTTTTGTTTGTATGTATGTAAATTAGTTATATATAATTTAAAATACCTATAAGCTTTCTGTATTTAAATTTTATGTATCTTTCTGTTTCATTATTACTTTCTTATCAAAAATATTAATCTTGCAAATATTATTTAACCTATAACCTACGATACACACAATTCTAATCCTCCACTATTGAAAATATCATTAGTTCGTTCAAAGCGTTTTCTCTGTACAAAGAAAAAAAAATATATATATGTAAACAAATACCGCTACAATTGCTGCGTTTTCATTATCGCTTCCAATTCGATTGCTTTTGGCTTTTGATATTCGGTATTGCGAAACGTTTTTTGTTTATTCGCGATAAATGTTAGAGGCTGAAATGCATTTAGATGGAAAACGGTTGTCAGTTAAGCCCATAAATTAAATAAAAATAAAAACCATCGTGACATATTTTAAAAACTGCGGAGGCGTGGCATTTTGAAAATAAATATCTTAAACAATGGTTTCATGAATATGGCTTTAAGCGGTATTGTACGCTTTTACTGGTTTAATTGTACCGAAGTCCTGACACTTTTCCGAAAGAAATAAATGCAGATGAGAACAAAAACGTTCACTGTATTTGTGGTCTGACTTCTTAAGGCTTTCGTCCCGACTGGCGTCCCATTTCTTATAATATTCCGCCTGCAATTTCACTGATTAATTGCTGGGGTAGCATTACCTCCTTTCCAACTGGTTCTTCATTCGCTCTCGTTTTCATTTTTGGTTATTTCAAGTGTTTTTAGACACAATTTGGCAATAATCTGGGGTAGATTGGGCTCGCCAATATTTATATTTAATAAGATTTATAAAATAAAACTAATATTGTTAAATCATTTATCTTGAACTTTCATTTTCTAAAAATTAATCAAATTATTTAAGACAAGGAATAATAAATTAGACATAAAGAAGGACATAACAACAATGTAATTGACTATAAAATAAATCCAAACCAAAAAAAGAGCTCAAAGTGAAGTTAGCCGGAAAAGTAAGGTACATAATTAAGTAAGAAAGCCTTATTAATTTTCCGTTTTTCCCGCCTGTCCCAACATTTCCCTCTGCCAACGGCTGGGCTGACCTTCCGAATGGGACTGGTCAAACAGATAGAGACCGGGGTCAGAGGTCGTTTCGGCTGCGTGATTCCTGCAGGGTAACACTTAATCGAACCCTGGAGGCGGGTCATCCCCGCCGCCTTGTTACCCCGCCCTGGCTACCAATCCACCAATGTTTATTTTGGTCGTTTCCTTTTTGGCCAAGTTTTGCGGCAGCGACGGCAACAGCTCATCTGTTTTTATTTATGTATTTCATTTATTTAATTCAAACGTCTGACTGAGTTGTGCGCTCTGTGCGATGTGCGATGTGCGCTGTGCGCTGTGCTCTGTGCTGCCACTCCCCCTCGAATCCGCCCACTTTTTGTCCTGTGTCCTTACTTAGTTTTGGTCGGAATTTGCATTTGGCGTGTCCTTTTCAGCATTTGCCTCTTCTCCGACACTGAAACAAAATTAACAATAAGAATGCTCGGACCAACCTTGTGGTCAATAACTGAATACAGTTACAGTTTGAGATTTTCATTTTTACATTTAATTTTTAGGTCAATCAAAAATATGGATATTGCTGTGTTTAAATATCGTAAAATTTGAAAATAAATATTTTGCATAGCTACAAAAATTCAAAAATAAGGCAATTTTTGTTTAAGTTGGTTTTGAAAATTAAATAACTTTTTTTTTTAACTCGAAGTAATGAAACAATGACAAAATCCAAATCTTGAACTATATATTTCAGTGTCTCTCGGCCTTCAGTTTGCTTTGGTGTTTTTCTTCATTAAATGCCTTTGAATTAATTTATAATTTGCTGACGCTTATTTATGCCGTCTTATTTTCGCCAGCGATTCTTCATCTTCTTGGCCATCTTTTTTGGCCATTTTCACGCCTCGCGCGTAACTGTAATTAATTGTCATCGAATTTTCAACGAATCAGCCTATTTTTTTGGTGTTTTTCATTTTGTTCCTTCGCTGGTAATCGCTTTTTCGGTCCCCAATCCCCAAAAGATCTAGAAATCTCAGTTTGAGTTATGATGTTGATGCTGTGGTTGCTGCTTCATGCCTCTTGGACTTGATATATGAGCTGGAAAACTCACGGTTCCAGCCCTTAATTTTAGCCGGCATTTGGTTTTGGTCAATTGCACATTAAATTAGATTAGCCTGACTTATTTTAGAGGGCCTAAGATAATGGGTTTGAGCAAAATGTACTTGTTGAAATAATTATTCGGCTGAATTTGCTAAACAGCTAGGCATCCTTTAAAATTCGTAGATAACTTTGTCTTCGGATATTTATCTTGTTTTGTGTTTTTTCCTATGATTAAGCAAAAACTACTTACCATCTTATTGTAAAAAAATCTTAAATGTTGTTGATTGAAATTGCTTAAAGTCTGTCAATAAGTGGATTATACCTTGCTTAAACACATTTTCGTTTGAATTTGGTCTTAAACAGCTTTGCGTTCTTTCAATATCATAGATTGTTTTGTGAACTTGCTTATAAAGTTAAGCTAAGTTCCAACCTTTGATTAAGCAAAAACTGCAAACCATCTTATTGTTAACACACAATTTAATCTTTTCTAAGTGGTGTCTTAAAAAATCCTTGGCTGCCATGAAGGTCCGTTTTTTGCCATTCTGTATTTTCGGATTAATTTTCCTCTCTCTCAGTTTTTCAATTTTCCTTTGTGCGTTGAGCACCACAGATTTTTGCTTATGATTGAGGCCAAGCCGAAAAAGGACGACAACAAAGGACTGCCAAAGGAGGAGCCGAGTGAAATGGTAACAGATATTTCGAGTGGCAT